GACGCTACTAGGGGCTCCTGGCCTTACTACTAGGAGCAAAGGACGCTGCTAGGGGCTCCTGGCCTCACTACTAGGAGCAAAGGACGCTACTAGGAGCAAGAAGCGTACGTGCTGATTCAAAGGCGTCCGCCAGGAGCGACACGGCCTCTTGAGCGTGGGAGCGAAGGTCACTGGCTCACAGACGCTGCAAGGCCGGGGATCAAATCACTTCAAGGACAAGTCATTGCGGTGCAATGATGCAGCATTGACATATGTATATAATATATATACACTAGTACCCTATCTCTTAAAAACAGAAAAGAAAAACAGTAATCATGATACTAACAATAGTACTAACAGCTAGTAGCAAGGGCATCGCTACTAGTAACAAGGGCATTACTACTAGCTAGAAACTTCTGATTCGGAAAAGGTGTGGTCTATCCCGATGCTTCTCTCATCTCTTGGCACTCCAGGGCGACTGGTATCTTCGGGGCAGAAGCACTTGTACTTGGAGACACAGACAACCTATGCATATCATGATTGCAACGGAGGTGGCTTGGCCGAGGAGTAGCATCCGGTTTTGCTGCAACGTCGAACGCATAGATTGATCTACAACCAACCTGCAAGGAGTTACAGAAGCTCGACTGGCACCTAATAGCGGCCTCCAATCTAGCGTTCCCTTTTCCTTTAGATCAGACCTGAGGGATCCAACACATCTGTCTTTCTGCGGCTCAGGTTTGGTCTTCAACACGGCCTGCCAAACGCTACCTGGCCCTGAGCGCAAGCTGAGCGTGTGAAAAAGTTGATGTTTTCGAGGTTGGATTGGGCGCAGACTCAGATGGCAAAGACCCTCAACATGCCCAAGAGTTTCCAGACTCAAGCTGGTGAAGGGGCCTTTCTTCAGCCAGTGCTGCTTTCTGATTGTGTTTGCGTGTCCATTGTATGTTGAATTCCCAGCCATCCAATGCCGTTCATGCTGTGCTTGAGCAGACTATTCAATTGACCCTTGCCTCCTTTTATCCAGCTAGTGTCAAGGCAAGATCACTGTGCAGAACCAACGCCTCGGTGGTGCATATGGTGGAAAGGTCGGCATGCCGAAGGTTTGTTCATAGCCTTACAAGGGATGTCCGGGGTACAAAGCTGACAGCACACTATCTTGGTGTCCGTGGTCTTCGTGCAGTTTAAACTTTTGATCGTTATTCTTTAAGTATATTGAATTGATTTGAATTGTCAAAAAAGTGTCTCCATGGTGAACCAGTAGTCTCACTTGATGTGCTTCAATTCAACTTTCCCGGAGCAAACTTGCTTAGTTATGGAAGCAGAGAGCAGAAACACCCCGAGAGGCAATGCTTTTTGCTCCTGTCTGTGGGGCTTGCGGTGTGGCCGTGCTGAAAAGCAAGCGCCCGGTTCTGCTACAGATGGACAGGAGTGCAGCAGAGCTCAGTAGAAGAGTTCCGGTTTAGGCAACGTTACGTGGTGCAAAAACATGCTCGCTCCCGTGCAAGGATACCCACATATTTTTCTTTTGTTCTTGAACATTCAAGTCGCCCCTTTGGAGTTAGATGTGGGACGTTCAGCTGTCCTGATACAGTGCCCTAGATCATAACAACCCACGCCGCAAAAATGCCACACCAAGACCCCACTGACACCCACTGAGTACCCTACAACCACATTCTTCCCCTTTCCTTTCTTCCGAAATCATTTCGTGACCTTTTTCTTTGAGGACTTTGGACTTTCGTGCCTTTGGTGGCCGAGCTCCCTTTGATGCCTCGTGGGATCTCAGCCATGAGAATGGGAAGATTGTGAGCCTCAAACAGGACAGAAGAAAAGCAAAAGGGGAGGAGAGGAAATGAAAAGGGAGAGAATCAGGAAGAAAGGGATAGAAAAAGTTGAAAACTTTTGCGACGACCAAGTTGTGAAACAGGAGGAGTGAAAAGGGAATGAAGGTCGTTGAAGGTTCTTACAATCTTCACAAGACACATTGGCTTTCGTCTCTTTGTCAGTTCAATTCCTAGGGCATTAAGGGGCTAAAGAGCAGGGTTCGTCCGTCGGATGCAAAGCTGCAGGAAGTGCTGCAGAACGTGGGAACGGACATGTTGGGCTTCTCCCAAGCGTCCAGTGTGCCTTGGCGATAGCACACATAGCACACAGCTAGTACAGCACATCCTTTGCGACAACTCCAAGGTGGCTCCTTATTTGTTTGAAACATTCTTGGAACACCTTGAAACCCTTTTTGTTCAGCAGCACGGATAGATGTGACTGTTGGCACCCAGGTGAATTGCTACAACATCCCCCACGCGCAACTTCACTGCAAAGGCCCGGGGTCCACTGCAATGAACCGTCATGTCAAATGATTGTTCATGTTTCTGAGGTGTCATCACAAACCTGCCAGTGAACACCTGGATGCGAGCTCCTTGCATGAGATCACCCAAACTGAACGGCGGACCGTCCGGCAGTGAATGTAGAGCCTACCATTCACGGACCCGGGTGACTCAGGGGGCTGACACACATTGAACGTTTTCAAGCGTTTGCTAAAAGGCGTTAGTAGCACATAGTCTAAGTTCCTGATGCTGTTAACCTTTGCTTCAACTCCTTGCGACTCAGCTTCTCAGCGACTTTTCCACCCTGAGGCGCCTGGTGACTTCGAAGGAGCTTTCATCATGGAGGCCATCATGGAGCAGGCGCTGTTCGCCTTTTCGTCGGGTTCCTGAACTTGACAGACAATCCAAGCAAAGCCACAGGTTGCAGTGGCAGTTGAGTGTTCGCTTTGAGTTTGAGTTCCTTCAGGTGGCACGAGCTGTGGGCCGAGATCCTGTAGAAGTGCAGGAACTGAACTTAGCCGAAGGCATGCAGAAGGCCCGGGAGGAGCCCGCGGCCGCGGCCAGATAAAGTTGATCGTTACTTTCGGTTGCTAGTAGTAACAGGTGCATCGCTAGTAGTAACAGGTGCCTTACTAGTAGTAACAATAAGAATTTAATAATAGGCCCAAAGAGTGTTGAGCTGAATTGCTGGATGTGGCGGCGGTTCTTGCTCAGGCTTGGCAAAGATTGAAGGCAAAGGTTGCTTATGAGGAGACCCGAAAAGCAGTGAAGGACTTTAACAGCCAGAGCCGTACCTGAGCAAATTTGTATTATGTTAACACTCTGTTCTGAGTTTCTTTAGACATGTCCTTTTCTCTTCTTCTCCTTGCTTACTTTGCTTGGTGAAGGCCTGTCGAGAAGAAGTTGCCTTTAAATCCACTCTCCCTACTAGTAACAAGGGCGTCGCCGGCATCGCTACTAGTGACGAGGTGCCTTACTACTACTAGTAGTTACTAGTAGCTAGAAGCTACTAGTAACAAAGGGCATCGCTACTGGGAACCATAAAGCTACTAGTAACAAGAGCCTCTTTTCTTTTAGCCGCTGTAAGCGCTTCGGTCTTTGGACTCGAGCAATACCACGCTTCCAAGGCTACCGGAAGAAAGGCCTGTATTGCCCCTCGGCCCTTAAGGAAAAACATGAAACAAAGCGGTCAAAACCTTGGATAACTTGAATCTGCACACTTTGATACTTTGTTTTCATAAAAAGAACTGGCGGTTGATCAAGCAGCTTGGATGTCAAGGTATGGGATCCCGCTATCAGTTGGAGCCAAACACCTTCATGGAGAAGTGCTTCCTCAGGCGCAAACCACGATCCTCAAGAGAGAGAGAGAGAGAGAGAGAAAGAAAGAAAGAAAGAACGAACGAACGAACGAACGACCGACCGACCGACCGAGCGAACGAACGAACGAACGAACGAACGAACCAACGACCGAGCGAGCGAGCGAGCGAGGGAGCGAGCGAGAGAGAGAGAGAGAGGAGAGAACACTTATTCTTGAATAATTAATTGAGCAATTACGAAAGCCAGCCGATAGGCTAGGCTAAGTATTAGGGGGTGTGGGGGGGTGTTGCATAGGGGAACAATATGGCCAGAGCCTGGTGGGGGAGAGCCAAAAGAAGAGGCGGTCCGAAAAGCAGAGAAAATCTATGTGTTTTGGGGTGTTGTGATGCAAGTGATGTAATCGACCCCGAAGAGTGCATCATTAGCATCATGAGGGGCTTAGGAGGCCATTCAAACAGTCTTCGACCTGGGGTGGGAGTTCATGTGGAGGACAGGAAAGGGGGGACAACGGGATGTGAAAAGTGATAGGTCCTTGCAAAGCAAACGAGCTCCATTGGATAGAACGCAATGTGTCAGATGGAGTAGACCTTCTCCTACCCCTCCCCAACTGGATCTAATGGATCCAGTTGGACGCAGTACTGAGCTCTGCTCGCTCTGCACATGCCAGCTACTCACAGCAATCCCCCCAAACATGGAGGCAGCCATTTCCGCCTCGGAAAAGAAATGAGTATTATATATATATATAATATGTTGTTTTATTCATTCTTTTTTTTTGGGGGGGGTACGGTGTGCTTCACCGCCCTCCACCACGTTCTTTTTCAAGCAGTTTTTCTTGCAGCCATTTTGGCTAGCTTTGGCCTTGACTTTATCTCCAGCTGTGCTTCTGCAATGGACTTAAATACATTTCGCAAGGGAATCAGAGATGAACATTTCAGTCAGCGCGGCCTTCCAGAAGCATCATGTACGCTCCCTTATCCCTTCATGGTGTCCAAGATCTACAGGACTCAACGAGGGCTTTGATGGTGCACGCTCAAGACATGGAGGTGTTCACGTTGCAAGGCCTCATGCACACTACGCAGGGGTGACTCAGACAATAACCATTTCTGGGTTTGCACTGAGAACTTCTCCCATGGGCATTTTCGCGAGACTGCTATTGTTCCAGCCCTTGCTGGTGTCAGAGGCCAATCCCTTGTGGCCTTCTTGCATTTTTTGGTTTTCATGAAGTGCAATGAAAAGCTGAAGCGAATGAATGAAGAGTTGCGTGATGCACATGGGACTGGGGACTATGCCATCCATCAGTGGCAGAATCTCTACCATGCATGCCTCAAGTCCTACATGGAGCACAATAATATCAACAAAGTTGGTTGCAAAGAAATACGCTACGCCGTGGATGAGACTGCTGTGGGCAAGGTAAGCATCCGTGTGGGTAGGCCAGCATCCAAGCTTGGATCTACAAAGAGGAGGACGCCCAGAATCGCCAAGAAAGAGCCGTGCAAAACAGTGTGGAAAAGGGGAGCTAGACCTGGGGTGAAAGCCAAGGCAGGGAGTTTGAAGGACAAGAGGAAGTCTGGAGGTCCACATCTTCCAAAAGCACAGCTGTGAAACAAGACAAGTTGAACAGCAAAGTAGCAGACTATGTTGTACAGACCTATGTGGGAGCTGACATGAAGCTGCCCATGTCACTTATCATGGAGGCTTTTCAAGTCCATGCTGCCTGTGGCTCTTGGCCAGCAGCCAAGCTGTCTTAGAAGCAAAATGCCACAAAACGCTGGGGCGACCAATCGCGTTTCCCCGATATATATATATATATTATATGGTATGGTATGATATGGTATATGTCTACACACACATAAATATATAGTTTTGCAAAAGCCAGCCGGTAGCCTGGGCGATGGGATCTCCACAGCAATCTTTGCTCGATGTTAGGCAATTACATCATCTTTGTAGTAGATTTCCATGACTTGCTCTTGGCGGCGCGCCGAGTTTATGACTCCATCTACAAGACAAGACAAACAGCAGGGCAAGCGCCCCTCAGTTACTTAGGGGCACCCCACCCCCCAGCTGTGAATGGAGAGCCTGTCATATCGGCCCTTACTGCGACTTCCCACCTCTGCCTTCTATTTTTCCGTGCCTGACAGGTTCCAGTGTGCTCTCGAATTCACCTCCCATAACCATATTGATGTCTTCTTGCGGAGGCTGGCTTTCGTCCCTCCCTTCTCAGGTATGTAAACTGAACAAACAAATAAGTTACAATATGTTGTTCTTCTTATCTCGGGAGAGGTGGAATTTCAAGTAAGTAGTGAACGAAGTAAGCTTAAGTTGTGGCCATCAGAATCTACGAGGCTTGGACGCAGAACAGCTCAGGCTTCTTGAGCGCATGATTGATTTGGTTCGTAGATGTTTTGGCAAACTAGGCAGATTGAAACACGGAATAGTGGAGGTTAGTCTGGAGTCAGTTCTGACTTTTCACTTCTTCTCACAACATACTTGCTGGAGATGATGATTGCGGGTCTGGCCCATGAGCCGGTAAAACTTTTCAGACAACTCATCAAGAAGATCTCGAGGTCTTGAAGTTTTTTCTATCTTCTGCATGTTTCTGCTTTGCAGGGTCCATGATGATGGTTCGGTACTTCTGGAGCACACTGGCCTCGAGGTCGATCGCATTGAATCGTTCATTTGAATGCATTGCTTGAATCACGTGACTTGAGTGAATAACTTGGATTCCCACGACACTCTACGGACCCTGCGTCATTCTATGCTCCATTAAGTAGGCTTAACTGAGAAAAAGAGAAGAACAATGAAAGGACGAAAGAGACAAGTTGCCCTTTTCGTGAAACAAACTACAGTTTCGGACAAATTGGGGTAAACAATGTGGACCAGATCGACAGGTGGGTCAAGGCATTGACACCAAAGCACTTCAAGCTTGCACCATGGCATTGCGGAAGATTGCGGCCACTTAGTCCTGTGGGGTCCGGTGACAAAATGAACAGAACAGAAAGAGAAAACAACAGAAACATGCATTTTGTGTTTTTGTTTTCCATTAGACCTTTAGACCTGTTGAAGATTGAGGTGCAGAACAGTTCATGAAAACTGTGATGATTTGACAGCGACGCAGACATGATGTCCTCATTTTGAGGTCCTGGTCGAACTTCCTGTCCATTTTGTATATTTCCGCCAAGGAAGACTTCCAGATGGATCAGATTCAGCTTCGGCTTCCAAAAACCACTGGAGACTTCAGCTGGCGAGGCAAAGAGCACTGACCAAAAAAGCACGAAGTGCTACTAGGAAGCTCCTAGGAACAAGTGCATCGCTACTAGTAACAAGTGCCTTACTAGTAATAACAAGTGCCTTACTAGTAATAACAAGTGCTTTAAAATAAAGTTAATAACAAATTGGAATTACATTAATTCTAATTTATTTTTAATTCTAATAGCAAACATTGTTACTACTAGTAAGGCACCTGTTACTAGTAGCGTGGCACTTGTTCCTACTTGTTTTTTCCCATTTCGAAGAGTCGATGTGGTAACACCGCGGCATTCCGAATCCTGCCAGGTGTCATGGGCACCTTCAGCAGTGTGACATCTGAAACTGTTGTAACTTGGGCAAAACAGCAAAACAAACAGCAAACAGCAAACATAACACACATCGACGTAACAACTGAGATGTGGGTCCACTTTGCAACACACGTGGTGGCCAGTGCACTTTCAGGTTCGGAGGTTGCCACTGGCCATGAAGCGAAAACTCTGGAAAACCCATCACAATTCACCCTTCAAACCCATAGAAAGATGTGAAGAGCAACATTAAACAGGTTGGTTTGTTGTCTGAAGATTCGGGCTTATCCTTTTTCTTCAGACATGACTGTCATCCAGCTTAATTACAACACTATAGTGAACGATGGGTTGACATCGTTCAATATGGAATTGAATTTCGATTGTCGAGCAAGTGGGACGTCAGGTTAGTGCTATCCTCGATGCCTGTGCCAAGCTCCAGAAGGACTTGACACAATGGGCCTTGCCAACTTGGTTCTGAGCAAGTTCAAAAGCTGGCCCATCCACTAAAGAGACTTAAAAGCTCATTTTGCGTTGTTTTCTGTACGTTTTGCAACGACTGGTAGAGGAGCTGCAGAAATGGATAGCGCCTGGCCGCGGCTGGACAGAGGTTGGTGCGTTGTGGGTTGGGTTTTGAGCTGAACTACTCCTTACCGAGGCCAATACTAAGGCCATCTACTAACAAGAGTGGCAATCATCATGCATTCTTCAAGAATGTGCAGATGTTCATCCACATGCCGTGGCAAGTCTTCTTAAAAGAAGCAAAGCAAAAGAAACAAGGTCCAGGTACAGGCAAGGCTTCGTGATTTCGTGCAGTGCTCCACACAGGCTTAAGACTTCCACGCAGATTTTGGGTTTTCCAGATTTGGTGCGCACGGTCTACACAATGCACAGTGCTCCAAGAGTGTGCAAGGTCATCTCCTTGGCTACCAAAGGTGGTGCCCAACTCTCACAGGCGAAGCTTGGCGCTGTTGCAACATTGGTGGACCTACTTGTAACTACCTACAACTATCTACAACTCTTGCACAAGCAAATTGCTTCAAGCGCAAACAAAGCATCCAGAAGGAGCTTTAGACTTGCTGTCTCAAAAGGCACTTTTTGCCGTAAGCCGCTTAAGCATGGAATGCCAAACGTGTTGTTTTTGAACATACTCCTAGTAGCGATGCCCTTTGTTACTAGTAGCGTCCTTTGCTCCTAGTAGTAAAGCCAGGAGCCCCTAGTAGCTTCCATTTGAACGTTCATTTGTTCGTCTTCCAGCTCCGAGACTTTGAATGCAGGCCGGTGTCACGGATCAAGCTGCTATGAAGCTTAGCACGAAATGAATTGCAATCCAAGCTTGGAGCTTGGATTTTCAAAACTGATCTGAACGGCATCCGAGGGAGAAGTACAGTCTCTTCAGCGCAGGTTGTGCCCAGGCCTAGCCTCACAACTCGAGCTAACTTAAGTGGAGAAGGAAAGGAAGAACAAGAGTGAAAGAAATGTCTATTTTAAGGTCTAATGGTCACATCAAGAAAAACAGAAGAAGTTTTAGACATACTTGCAGAGTGGCGAGGTAGAGATCGATGTCTTGACGGGTGAGACACAAGTGAACTCCTTCGACTTGGTCTACGCTCCTTCGGTCAAATCAGAACAGACATGTGGGCTGGAGACACGTGGGGACGGTTTTGGTATGTTTTCGCTTCCTAGGCCACGAGCGTTCAGGCTGATATGTCATCCAGAGATCCTGGTTTTGACCATCGGTGAACAAGAACGCTTTGTTGCCTAATTATTGGCATGGTGATTCGTGACAACAAACATGAAGAGCAAGACTTGGGAATTAAGCTTGCCACAGGCCTGCAAAAGAAATGGACAATATGTAGTCCACAACCTGCGGCGGACATGCCAGCAAGACTGCCTAGAGGTCGCCGAGCATGCTGAGGACTCTGGAAAGAGCCTGAACCCGGCGGTGGACATTGGCCAGATTGAGGTTGGAGACATGTATGCCAGTCAAGCCACTATACTACGAGGTGTCGCCCACTATGTCCTGGGGTGTAGGTGGAGCGCAGATAGTTCATGCCCTTTTTCTTGATATTCTATCATTGTCATGTCATAACCAAAGCAATGCTGCAACTTGCACACCTAGGAAGGAAGTATATGGTTGACTTAATTATGGTCCTTTTCCTTTGATTCAAGGAATCCTATGGTTCAAAAGACTTTGAATACATTGGCAGGGCTTCAAGAAGCCTTCATGAGCTCATGAAGCCTTCAGTCTTGACAATCTTGTTGACGGGATCAGGGCAGCCTCATTCAAGCCTTGGGCTTCTCACTCTTGGAGGAGCAGAAACGGCAGATCGATGACAGAAATGAAAGCGACGAACGTTTGGTGATCTCGTGAGTTCAAACTGAACAACTTAGAAGAAAAGACAGCTTTAAACAGAAAATAAACATAAAGTACGCAAGAAACCTTTGGGTAAATTTGGCGGGACGTGGGCGGGATATGTTGGTTTGCTTGTGGGGTGGCTTCTCCGGCTTCTAGTGGCTTTAGCCTTTGATGGCTTATGTGGTTGAATGTTTCTGCTAATGGCCTTCAGTGGCTTCTGCTGATTTCCAACCTAGTAGCTTCTTGCTCCTAGTAGCGATGCCCTTGTTACTAGTATCTTCTAGCTACTAGTAGTAATGGCCTCCAACCTGGTAGCTTCTAGCTACTAGTAGTTGGCCTTTAGTGGCTTCTGTAGATTTTGATGGCTTATGTGGCTCTTGGCGTTGGGCTGGTGTTTGGTTGCAGTTTGATTAGGTTGGTTAGGTTTTTGGTGGCTTGCGTTTGGTGGTTCTCTTAGATCTCCTGAGATTTTAGAGGTTTCTGTTTGCTTTCAGTGGCTTCTTGTAACTTCTGTTGGCTGCTGGCTTTCGGTAGCTGTCTTAAGAAGCCGCTCCCGAGCCGCGGAGTCTGCAACTATGAAATCTGACTTTTACGAGTGACACCCTTGCTTCCGAGCACATGTTTGCAGCACACCCGTCCCTTTACTTTGTGCAAGGAAGAGGCACTGCTGGGAACCTCCCTACACACAAAAAAGGTAAATGCGATTGCAAAATAAACAAAGGAAAAAGAAACAATGAAAGCCACTGTGTGGGTCAGACCTCAGGCCCCTTTTTTGTGGATGAGTTTCACGTAGTTTCACAGATCCACACTGGAAGGAGGAAACCCGCGGCAAGGATGGACGCCTCGTCAATTGTGGCACCTGGGAATCTCAGCCTTGAGCGGCAAAGCCACGCATGTGCTGGTTGTAAGTCGTCCAGCTGTTTGGCATCAGCACGGTGGTTGCTACACCATAGGCACATATATATATATATATATAGGGACCTTTGTTTCTGAATTTGGCAAAGAAACTGAAGTTGTTCAAGCCGTCCAATGTTGGATTTGAACTGAACACCAACTGGTCATATCAGAATCATCCTGTCACTGAGTTTCACTCAGCTGTAGCCTCAGCCAAGGACTACAAGGTACCAAGCGGGAATGATATCCCAGCGCCTCAGATTTCAGAAGCAAATGGACAACCTTAAAATGCACTCTTAAATCTTGCAACCTTCGACTCCGACTCCGCCTCAGGTACGTCTCGATGTGGAGCTGTTGCCTTGCCAGACGCCTTCAGCACCTGTTCTGGGATCCAAAGCTTCCGGTGAGCCTGCACCATGGCGAAACAGGGTGCCACGGAGTGCCATTCACCTGTGACAGCCAGTGTTGCAGTATACAACCTAGTAGGGAACGAGGCAACAACCTGTATTTCACTTTCGCAATTTTGAAGCGTTATCCCAGGCACAGCTGCTGGGAGGTGCCTTCTTCTTCGCAGCTCCTCGGTAGGAAAGGTCTTGAAATGTCTTCTGGCTTCGCAGTTCCAGAGTTTGTAGAGGTTCATACAACCCTAGCAGCTTCTAATGTCAAGTCGCGATGGCCTCCGGCGTAGTAGCGATGGCCTCAACCTAGTAGTTTCTTGTTTCATTTTGTACTCTATTGTTCCCTTTACCCAGGTGAAGGATGCTATTGGCCACTGCCCCAGTGACAAACCCCGAAGTTTGCATTTGTTTGAACAAACCGCTGCCACGACCAACGGTTCCATGACCAGGCTATGCTCGCGAAGAGCAGGGCCTCTCCCGCAACTTCCGCTTGGACCCCCCGGCTTCGCCCGCCAGGCAGATGTCGCAAGCACCAGGAAGCACAAGTTCATTTAGTTCTCTCAAAAGCACGAAACAGATCTAGCCTCAATGCATTAAAGGGGCTTGCAAACTTGACATGACTTGATGGATGCCTGGTGATGGGGCGGTTTGGTCAGGATTCAGGCTGCGTGCAGCACGCAGCTGTGAATTTGAGAATTGGGCGGCCGCCTACTTGCACAGTTTGCATTGGAGAAACGAACGACACGATGACAATGTTTTGCCGTTGAGTTTGGGTATCGGCCGCCCAAGGCATTGAGATGTGAGCTAGCAAATGCATTAGCCGGCTGCTCCCAAGTGGACACGTGGGTGTCGATCAAAGACATGTGTGTTTCCGGATGCGTTTGACATCCGCAACACTGCCAGCTTCGGCGATCCAATCTGGTTTCTTTTGCGATTTTCCTCTCCGCTACTTGGGCGTGGAGCTGGGGACAGCGTGAAGCACAAAGCGGCATTTTGCGAAAATCACACTTTGCGCATGCAACCCAGCAGAAACCACAATAATTTGGGAGACGTCACATGGTACCTTCTTTTGTTATCTCTTGATATCTCTTGTTAAAGTTGAACGGCAGAGGAGATCTTCAAGTTTTTGATACCGGCCTTGAAGCGTTTACTAAGCCTGCTTTGAATCATTGTTAGGCCGTCCAAGACGCAGAGAAGACACGAAGCATTGCTGGCTTGTTTAGAATGCCGACCTTCGTTTTGCTTTAAAGCGCGCCGAATCTGGACCTCATGGTTCCAAGAAGTTCTGCTCTCGGAGACGAGTTGAGGTGAGTATCGTGAGCAAGTTGAAGCCTTGAAGAAGGAAAAGGATGCTGTGCAGAGCGAGGCACCGTCTGGTGTGTGGTTTGCGCGTTGGAGACTCTTTTTGTAGCACAAACAACCACGTCATGACATCTACAATACATGACACATCATGATGATGCCGAGTTACTAGGAAGCACCTTGTTTAGTTGAGGTGGCTTGGCTTCGGATGGAAGGGCCATCAGAGCTGTTCATGGGTCATATCATATCACTGAAATACCAAAACCCCCAAGGATCCTCTCGGACCTCGGCTTGTTAGTGCTGGAGCGGGCTGAGGCCGACAAGATACGGAAGTCTGCGGACAAGGCAAATGCAGATGTCCAAGAGGTGCATCCCGAGAGCCCTTTTTTGACTAGGTTGGAGGCCATCGGTTGGAGGCCATCGCTATTAGGTTGGAGGCCATCGCTATTAGGTTG